CTCTCTCCCCTCTCTCTCTCTCTCCTCTCTCCCCTCTCTCTCCCCTCCCTCTCTCCTCTCTCTCTCATGCACTAGAACCTTCCACCATGTGCGTCACATCTGTCATGCCGTGCAGCCTCTGTGAAATATTGATTACGTGATAATGGACCCTTAGTGGAGAGTATTTATTATGCATCAATTGTCAATAATCGGCCCTGGCTTGGGAGTAAAAGGTGACGGGTGGACATCTTCTCCGATTACCCCAGACCCCCCCTGGTTTCTCGTCCACACACCGCCCCACCCACCTCCTGTCCTCTCTACAGGGGCACAGAAGGTGGACAGGGAGGAGGTGACCCCAGGACTGCTGGTGGACATCAGGACCGCTCTCAGAAATGCCGCTACTCATACCTGGTTATACCACAACTCAAATCTCAGCTGTCTGGCTCATATTTCTAATAAAGGAGATTTTTTGGACCTAATTAGTTCTGATTAGACTGATCTAATTTCTATTATGGATGACAGAATATTGACCTATTTCATGGAGCTAAATTGTATTTGTTTGGCAGGTCTTTTGTTACTCATTATTTCATGCTTAATACAAATACCTGAATTGTGTTGCATTATATAATGTATCACATGGGAAAATATGAAAAGGAATTTTTTGATTGAGACATCAGGGTCCATATGCTTGCACACCAGCAGTCTGCCCATTGTAAAGAGGCTCCGCTGCAGATCCCAGACCTGCACTTTTAAACCCACATTGTGCAACAGTAATGAAAGTCTGATCCTGTAATGATGCAGCTGCCAAAATTAGTTCCAAAATCTTGATGTCGGGCAAAATTGCATGATGACATGAATAAATTATAATATGGTCTATATATTATATATATATTATAGTCTTACTAAAGCCAGACTGAATAAACTGTACAGACTGTACTGGAAATCACAAAGTACATATGGTATATATACATATATAAATATGTCTACACATATTATATAATTTATTTATTATATACATACAGTAATGTGCAGAAGTCTTAGTCAAAGAAAATGGTTAAAGCTACTCATCTGGGCAGTAAGTGTACATTTGCTCAGAAAAAGAACATAATTTAACATTATAATATATAATGGATCTGGTTGCTGTTCAGCCAAATAGCTACTTCAATATTCGTTTAAATACTAGAACTCGTGGCCATACTGTAGGTGAAATTAGCAGGATCTTAAAATGAATTTGAGGAAGTACTTCTTTACACAGCGTGTAGTTAGAGTATGGAATAGTCTCTCTGTTAGTGTAGTGGAAGCTAAAACCCTGGGTTCCTTTAAATCAGAGCTAGATAAGAATTCAACAACTCTGAGCTATTAGGTGAGTTCACCCCAAATGAGCTTGATGGGTCGAATGGCCTCCTCTCGTTTGTAAATTTCTTATGTTCTTATAAAAATGAACAGTAACCTGATGGAAAAACAACAAGAATCTCTTCTGTTCTCCAACAATTTAGTGGCTAAAAGAACATCGCTTTGATTTCCACACCTCAGGGGCAGTTTTGGATGGTTACTGTGAATATTGTCGTGACTTCTGGAGAGGTTTTTTAACGGTTAAGCTAACACAATTTGACAGACATAAAATCATAATTTTATAGCAGCATCAACATAATTGTCTTTAAATTCCTGTAGAGATATTAAATATAATAATATAATATAATAGATATAAAATGTATATGTTAAAACAATATTCAGATTTGGAGTCAGAATATTACCACAATATACCCCCCCACAGGTAACTGTGTGAGACGCAGCAAAGGGAAAGCAGGAATTATGTCTGACTGACAGCGAGAGGCTTGGCAGCTGAGGTGAGCATGAGCGGGGAGATAGAAAGGCTCGTGGTTAAGACAAGGACACTCACACATACTGCAGCTTGAGGTTGTACTGGAAGGCCTTTGTGGAGATGTGAGCCAGCCCACAGAAAGTGATTGTTCTGGTGAAAGAAAACAGGAAGTCTTTCAAGAGCAGGCGGTGTGGGAGTTTGCTTATCTGATCATGTCGTGGGGACTCGTGCGTGCATTGGGAACAATGACAGCATGCTCAGTATGATACGGCTGTCATATAAAAAGATTGATATGGCCATGTGTGTTCTAGAAGTGCGACCACTCTGTACTCAGACTTCACAAAGATACACTTAGATGGCTCATTGTGGTGTGAATGTTTAAGTCTGGAAAGTGTTATTCTGTATTTCAGCATTTTGATATTAATGATAACGACAATAATGAATTAGGCCCACATTTTCTCTTCCTATAGAAGTAACACAGATAATAAATGTCCTACTTGAATATTACAGTACCGACTGGCTTTCACCAATGATTCGAGGACCGGCTGAATATGTAGATGTGAGACGTCTAACTCTAAACAGTAACTAGCTTTTAACATGACAGCATGTGCTATGTTGTTTGAAGGCACTTACAGGTTCTTCAGTTCCCGATAGCTGGCAAAATCTAATTCTGTGATGTTCCTTAGGTCAGCCTGGTTCTCAATGTAGCTGGTGAAGGAAACACAAGGTAGCACAATTTCAGACATTAAAACCAAATAAAGTTAATATGCTACACCATAACATGAACAGTAGCATAGCAAACACTTATCCTGTCTCTTCAATGCCCATCTAAGAATTCTAAATGTCTTGTGGAAGCAAGCCAGTTTCAGATGTCCTACATCTGTGATACATTGACTGATAATATTGATTGTATTCCCAGAAAATTCTGGGGACTTTTAAAGTAGCTGAAAAGCTAGAATGGAATGTACAGCACTGTACACAAACACGAAGCATGTGAATACAAGTATGAACCACCGTTCACAATCGCGCAAGAACATCTACGCTGATTTGGAATTTGACTTGACATTGCTGACAGATGGGAATACAAATCAACACGCCATTTATGTGTGAAAAGAAAGCAAGGCAATGGGAACTAATTCATATGGTTCATTTTTGTATTGCACAGAAAAACACAAAATACTGAAGACTTTATATATGTCCATTGAACCTCTCAAGGTATCCTTGTTAGAAAAGAATTCAAAATATCTAGAGCATTGATACCACAAGCCAAAAATCAATAAAATATATCTACTGTAGAATTCATAAAACTAATGAAAGATATTAGTATAAACATATTAAAGAATTCTTTTAACTCCTTGTAAACCATTTAATTTGCACAAGGACATTTCCTTTTCAGTATATGGTGTTTAAAATGCACTTGGTAACCTTGGATATTTTGTTGAGATCACTGGGTTTCTACCCATCAACTCTATATGTTCGAATATATATAGAAGATATCTTGTCATGCTGACTTTCATTTAGTCCAGCTTTACATCTGCTACCACCACGAATACCACAAAATGAAGAAACATATCTGTTTTCCTTTGTATTGAACGATGACCAAACATCTTCAATATATACAATAGATCGTTCCTTTCTTAAGCCGTTCAGACAATCGTGTATCGGGGCACCAAGAGATGTGGAGCATTCTTCTGCAGTCCCCTTCACGCCGGCGAGCTCAAAGGAATCACATCACTGACCTGAAAGCTCTCCCAGCCTCCTTCACACACAAACAGCCAGTGCAAATACAGCAGCAGCAGAGTCATAGTCTAACAGTTTGTTATTACATTTGTACAAATCAAATTCCAAACCTTCCTGGAGCAGATATAGTGCATTTCTAAAAATGTGCTGAACACAACATACACATCATATGTGACATTAACCTTGATTTTACTGTATGAACAGCTGAAATGATCATCGGTTAATGGTTTTATGGTTACTCTTGCTAATAAGGAAACACCTTTGATTGTAAACGTTGCTGGTAGTATAAGAAGAAGCTATTGTTCTTGTTGTTGGTGGTGATGTTGATGTGGGTGACGCATGGTGATGATGATGCTGTTGGTGTATTTTTCCATGCATGGCAGCTAAAGTTTGATTATTTATTCACCATAATTTTTATTCTTCCCCCCTCCCAAAAAAATCTGAAAAAACAGAAAACAAATCCGAAAAAGAATGCCAACCTCATACGATATTTTGCATTTCTTCAATTTTTTATAATTCTGAAGGATCAGACGCACAGAAGCATAATAAGAGCAGAGCTATGTATGCGTCTGCGATTGACTCATTGAGTTGTAACACGATTACAGAGCAGGTGGGACGCAGATCACAAATCGCCTTCGCTTATTGGATTGAGCCAAAAGGGTAATATTTCATCTATTGTTCTCAAGCCGCCGTTCACTAGCAATTTGCAAAATTGCATTTCTAACCTAATGGATTATAAATCTAAAGATTCTATACCCATACTAAGCGGTTTATGGTCTCTGTTCTCTGTGGCATATGCCTCAGCCACTCTACCCTTTCATCCAAACACTCTATGGTGTTGGTCTACTTTGGCCACACAAAGCTCAGCGTCAACACATAGTGCATTTGATGAAATGGTTTCTAGTAAATCACTGTCCAATATCTGAGGTCAGCACAGCAAATTTGGCCCCCATTGTTTTCAGAAAAGGTTCATTCAAACTTTTATAGTTGTGGCTGTTGGTGGATCCAATGTGTTACATGTGAAAATTTTGTGGTCGAGCCAGGGTTGGATTTACAAACATTACTGAATACAAATTGGCATATATCATACATCAAATAAAGGTTTCATTCACCTTTTACCAATAAAGTAATATCTCTTAAATGTGGTGTTTCTTTCTGTTTGATTTGGGTGCAGTGATATGTGCGAAGCCATGTTTATAAGATGATTACTACCTGTTGGTTTCCAAGTCAGTTTTCAAACACAAAGGATGGGCAACTGTTCTGTGTAACTGTGAAGCTTCATTGGTTTGCTGCTAACTCATTACAGACAGTGAACACAAATCGCTCAGGCTGCTCTCTGCAGTCTTCGGCATCCATCTATTCACCCTACAAGAAATCATCAACTTGATTTCTTGAGAGTGATTCCAGGTCGTGCAGATAATATGCTATTGTAACACTTAGGTACAGATACCGATAGAATATATCCATCTATTCAGCTTCCAGCCACTTTCCCAGTACAGGCTTAGATGGTGAAATACGATATATCATAACATTTGTGTGTAAATAGGTTACCTGCACAAACATCAACAAGCATCACTCAAGGACTGATGCCAATGAAAGATACAACTCATGTCAGCGTGGCTGAATTTCTTAGACACTACAGGGTAAAACAAAAGCATGTGACATCCTCTTAAAGGTCTTTACCGGAGACATACATTTACCAATTTCCATGCATGTCTCTATTAAAAGTGTATAGTAACATGCATTTAAATGTAACATTGATTATCAAATTGACGTTAAGTCAGTGATTCCATATTTCATGAACAATTTCACGTCTTGGAGTCCCATTTCAAGTAATCAAGATTTAATTTACAGTCCTGCCTTCTCAGTCTCATATCCTCCTCCAAGCATAGACACTCAAAATGACACAATTCCTCACATTTCCAAACTAATGTATACATTTAATAAAATCATCTAAATATATAAATCCCCTTACCTGAAAAAATTGTCCCTTCTGTATTACACCCCACCCTTCTTTTAAATACAAATCAACAAACACAATCATAACCACAGAGACATTTACATGCTGTATAAGACCCATATTTCATTTTGCGACAATCTGCAAACTACAGACCCGCACCGATCTGCCAATGGCTTCAGACACATTCATCATGTGTATCATTAACTTCAGGCTTCTTAGACCATTTTGCGTGCATCACTCATCAAATCAAGCACATTTCTGATCTCAGATCCTCCTTAGCTGCCGCAGTGACTGCTTGGAGAGCCGCACACATCAGGCTATGATTCCATGCGGATCTACTCCAACGTGAGATGTTACTCTAACAGTAACAAAAGTTCAAGCTCTCTACACAATGAATAACATAGTGTTAGTACACTGATGTTGCTGCTGAACACCTCAGTAAGTGGATGGGAGATCATCACATTGTAACAGCAGAAGCAAACAAAACCTTTCTTCACTTATTCACTTATTCTGTGTGTGTGTATGTATTCAGTCAAACAAAACAAGTTACAGACTATGGCAACTGTGGGGACCCAGAAGTCGTACGGAACTGCTAGCATCTCTATAGGACAGGAGTCTCAAATAATAACAAACTAAGTACAGAAAACAACTGAAGTCTGTCTTCAACAAGTACAGCCAAGCAAAAACTGGGACGTGCTCGGGAGCGAACCTGCGGCCACAGCTATAGAACTTTGTGAAATACAAGGTTCACAAGTCCTGCCATTGCTGGGAGACGGAGAGCGGCGAGGCGGCACTCACATGTCGGTGATGTTCTCGCTGTCCTGTGGTGCCAGCACAGGAACGCCGGTCAGCCGGTTGGGGTCCAGGCAGTTCAGGCTGGTGAAGGAGCATCGGCAGGCATCTGGGCATCCGCACAGCGCCGGCACAACCAGGCCGAGCAGCGCCAGGGACGCGAGGGCTCCCCGGCGTGTGCCGCCCATGGCTTCGACGGGACGCGACGCGGGTACAACACTCGGCACTCTGTCCACACACCTCTTCCCCCTCAGCTGGCTCGTGGGTTTCTGCTTCCAGCCAGGCACTCTGCTAGACGGCTGTGGTTGAGAGGCAGGACCCTGGGGACACTGGGCTGTAGCCTCCTTTCCACCGTGCTCCACTCACAGATGGAGGGAGGGGCAAATAACTCTATGAAAGGCAGGAAGGAAGAGGTGTTGCTACTTAACAAAATTAAGATTTTACTGTATTGCTTCTTGGTAAGCCTAATAGCAGCTGTCCCAGTTGAGCTTCAAACTGGCCCAAAAGGGGTGATCCAAAAAATTATGTTTTCTCTCCTGAGATTGCAGATTTCAAACACTTTACATCAAAACATAGCTATATCGTACAACTTACACCATTTTCCGCCAATATTGCTTGTAAAATGACGTACATGTAGTTACGTCCAGTGTAAAATTTTCGACTAATTCAGCTGTAGAAACAGATTAGAAATTGCGCGTCTTTGTTCCACATTTCGGTAAGTGGTCATGTTTGTTAACATCAAAACAAGTTTACGTTATTTCTTGTCATTTCTAAACCCACCGTTTTTGAAGCCCTCACACTTATCAAAATAGCTGAATGAGTGGAAAAAAAATGTCGATCTCACACGGGGGCTGACGTGTATGATGAGAGAATTATGGGACACAGCGCCATTTGTCTCTCCTTGCGCACCCAGATATCTGATTGGCAGTGACACTCCACAAGTACACTGCTACTTACCGTCCTCTAAGTCACTTACAATGGAGTTTTTTGTCTGTCTTGCCCTTTGCTCACATGCGACATTTTAGGCCTTTGGGCACCTTTCGCAATGGCACTGGGACAATGGGATCCACTGGGGAGGGGGAGAACAGAGCTCTACAGCCCAGCAGTGGACATGTTAAACAGCTCAGAGCAGTGGCTGCTTGGCGACAGGCAAGCCCAGATGCAGAACAGGTAAATGATTAGTCAGCCATACGTCTTCTGTAATCACTTATCCTGTAGGTGGTGGACAATGGATTACGATTTCCTATTAAACACCAGGATCAGGATATTTCTCATAATAGCAAAGACCACAACCTGGCAGTGTGTCGCATACAGTAGCTTGGTTTTGTCCACTCAGTTATCCGTGCCTTCTTGGCTTATTAAGACTACATGGAAGGTGAGGTCCTTTAGTATACTAGTATACTTAAGTATTAGTGCTGGTACTGGAACAGGATTCTCTGGCACAGTGGGAAAGAAGGAATGGGCAAAGTCCCTCTGTCTGCTAGTCACTATACTCTCACAGTAAGGTCACAAAGCCATGACCACAATTACTGCAAAGAGCTGAGTTGCTGTTTTTGCCGCTCAGCGCTTCCTCTCCACCATCCTGCGGGCGAATCGGCGACAGACGCTGGTGCTCCACCGGGCGTGGGACCCTGTGAGGGACGGCGATCTTCCCTGCGCTCTTCAGAGGGGAGGTGCCTGCCTTTTTCCTCCTCGCCATGCCTTGGAGCAGACCAGTCCACATTAATTAGAGGTATTTAGTCATCGTGGCTTAATGTAGCCCAGTAGTGCGGCCCTAAGATTAGGCATGTTCCCTTTCAAACACCTCGACCTCAGCAATCAATTGCCTTTCATTTTATTTGCATGGAGAACAGCAGTGAGTGCAACTAACTGGCATCTACAGTCCCTTAGCAGGAAAACTACTGCTGTCTTATTGACTGATGCAAGCTAATGGACTTGCAGGGGTGATTGTTCAAAATAACTGAACAAATAAAACCAGCCATTTGAATGTGAATTAGATTCACCCTGTACCTTAACTAAATCACTAATCGAACATGAAGTTTTGCTTAATAATGCACTAAAGAAGATGCAAGAAAGAATCCCAAACACACAGTTTTATGACCGACATCAAATCTCAGAAAATAAGATACGGCATTAATTATGCTTTTCATTGTGTGGTTCAGCTTCACTTACCCATCTGGGACAGTTAAGTAAAGGAAGTCACAAATAACAAGGGTCGCTAAGACAATATGCTGGGGACTAAAGGGTAATTAAAGGGTAATTAAAGAGAAGATGTGATTAAAGCAACAAGTAATCAAATAAAAAACAGGCAGCAAACTCCAAAATGTTGGGCTCTCCCTTCTTTCGGTCACGGAAGTCAGTGATCCATTCTTCCTAAAAGCATTTATGAGACAGGATAAGCTTCTGCAAGCAAGACATTTTTTAACTGAAAGAAATATATATTTTTTACTAATTTCCTTAGTTTGTAGAATATTTTGTAGTTCCACGTAAGAGAAGCTTATGAAGGTCCAGCAATGTTCACAAAATAAAAGCAAATAAAATGAATCAAAAGAGATAAAACATGTCAGTAACTATTCCGTCGGTCTGAGAAGACGCTGAGCATCTTCTGTTTTCCAACAAACAATCAAGCCTCTGCAAAATGTGAATACTTTGATAGATAAGTTAAAAGTAGGCACATAGTCATGCAGTAAAATTATGGATTAGAACCTCCCCCCTCTGAAATTTGTTTGCTCCTGACCAGCCAGATGGTAAAATAATATGTTTGAACTCCTCTCAAAATTTGTCTGACCCCTCAAAAAATTCATTTCTGGCTGAGGGCATGGTTTAAAGGTTTGGTATTTCCTGAATACAGTTTTTTTAAGCTTAGAGTGTGAGTTAAATTTCATTTTAGTCAGCTGGGCTGCAGAGACAAGCAAGCGAAAAAGCAGCATTAAGGGAAATCCCCGTGTCCTCGCCTCGGCCGAAGGAGTCCTGCGGGGGAAAGACTTGTGCTGTTCCTTTGGTTAGACATGTCCCACACGCTGCCAGATGCAGCAGGGAGTGTGACGCACTGATCCCCAATTACACGGTGGTCGCCGGAGAAAGGGTGTGACTATAGCAATCACATTACTCTCAGCTTGTCCAGCGCTGGGGCCTTACGGTGATTGATGCAAGTCACTGCCATGGCATAAGGGTAGAAGAAGGGACCAGTGTCTAAGGTCTAAACAGGAGCCCTGGACAGGCCAGTGTGTCCTGAATCACGCATTCATTGGCAACTCGGCTTCCCGATGACAAAAAAAAAAAACACTCAACGTGTGAGGAGGTTAAAAATGTCTCACTGTCCCCTCATGAAGGATTGCTTGATTCAATTTGTCCGGTTCATACTAGAATGATTGATGGGCAGCCGTTTAGGAGGACAAGGAACTGGTTAATCATTTTCGGGTTTCTTGTCCGATCATTAATCTATCTTCCTGCCATGGACCAGTGACAGAAAGCAATTAGCATGGATGTGGCGTGTTTTTTGGAAAGTGCTTCATAACAAAGGATTTTGGTTATGACTCGGTCACATTACAGTCAACACATGCAGATAAGTAAAGCACTTTGGCCACTTTGATTACCCAAATTGGTTCTTTTTAAATCTGACCAGGACTTCTTCAACTTCTCAAATTAAATAGCTGATGTTAATAAGAAAAACAGTAACTATAGAAATTCTAGGAATATGTCTAGTGCTTGAAGCGGGCCGGTACTCAATATCTGCTGGCATTGAATAATAAGGGGAATAACAGCACTTGGTACTGAATAACCAGGGAAGTACTGGCACCTGGTACTGAATAACAAAGGGAGTACTGGTACCTAGTACTAAATAACAAGGGGAATACCAGCACCTGGTACAGAATAACAAAGGGAGTACTGGCACCTGGTACTGAATAACCAGGGGAGTACCAGCACCTAGTACTGAACAACAAAGGGAGTAGTGATACCTGGTACTGAATAACAAGGGGAGTA